ATACTCCATTTGGTTTTATACAGAGTGTATGGTTGACCCACTCGTAAGATGCATCGCCGTGCTGGCAGAGAAGTGTGACAAACTAACAACAATTGTACAGCGTGATTTGGCTGATATAGTGGGCACATTAGAAACACGGTAGTCTCACTCGACTCCCGTTGCCTAAAGGTATGATCAAACTTGGAACGGAATAGACAAAACCAGTTTATATCTAACAGCCTACCTCCAGCAATCCCTAACACGAAAATAAGCATAAAAGCAGGCAATGAAGGCGACCCAACCCCGGCGACTCCAGTGTTGTAAACATCGGCCTTTCTGGGTGTTGTGTGCTTGTCACCTGATACTCAATTGCATTTTGGTTTAACTGACAATACCGAAAGTCTGAAAACATATGAGTCTACCATCGCTGAATATAGACCCAAGGCAAAATTAGCGGACATGTGTGCAACGACTTTAAAGACGGTTCAAAGTAACACAAATATCACTGCGCACCACTAAGAGACGGTTCACTACTCCGCCAGTAAAAGGCGCCACTCTCCTATCCAAAAGTATGAACACTAGGAAGACGCAGAACCCGATGAAGCTAGTGTACTCCAACTTGCCTGAGTCAACGTTGAATTCAGGCAAAGGCAAGCTACTGAACGACCTACAACACTGGGAATCCAAATACCGAGCAACTGGAATCCAGACCCAACAGGCTAGCTTGTGTCGTATCGTTCGCCACCCAAACTCAATTCACTATGGCGAGCCGAGGCTACTTCAGGCGACATTACAGTCTGGTGATGAAGCGGAGACTGCCCTCTTATCAGACTGTCGTCTTCATGATTTGTCATGCGGAGTTCGTACCTATTCTGACATCCGTTGGAATGAGCGTCGGCAAAAGAAGCCAACTACAGGAGTACGCCGCAAGAAAATCGACGAAAGATCCATCTTTGTCTATAGTGCCTCCGAAATCCAATCATTCGACGAGTCGTAGGTTCAAGCTCATGATTTGGAAGAGTCGTGCCAGTTGCACGAAGCCCTCTCTCCACCATGTGATTACCAAATCAACTTCAAGTTTGCCCATATCATTGAACGACAAAGAAAGTGCTCTAATGCTGCTGAAAGTCCTACTCTACTCCAAACAAATGCTTGAAAAGTCGCTCGGAAGTTGGCACCATTTCTGTACTAAAGTGACATCATAAATACATCTGGAAGCGGTCGAAGTCAAGCCACCATTTACTGAGGGGACACAAAACCGGCGAGAACTTGTCACTAGCTCCACTCTCTGCATTCTTGAACCAGAGCGAAGTGCAACTTCCCAGTTGTCAGAAGAGGAAGTAACAGAATCTCCGCCGAAATCCGTCTCTGAATGATTAGATAGTGGGTGCTTTATGCAACAGATTGAAACGGCTCTTGGGAGTAGACATGAAATATATCCAATAAAGATTGTCAACCGACTGCACAAGGGTCGGCGGAAATACTCGGGAAACGTTTGTGTGTTCAGCTACGCATCTCACACCCGTTGCACTAAATTGTTTGTATACAAACGAACAAGGCCTTCTTAGTAAATTGGCCGAGCTTCAATCATGTCAATACTCAATGTGTTAGGACCTTTGCATGATAACCCAAACCTAGATTAACGACGTGATTACCATGCAAAGATCGCACTACCTGGTATGTCACCCTTGCGGAACGACCGATACACAAATGGAGACGGTGTAATTTTTTAATACCGTTCCGACCTAGGCATCAACTACGCAAGCGACCCTGGGATTGAAATCGTGGAAGCTTTATGGTGTTGCATACACCTTAGGGGATAGATGTGTAGTGGCCATTGTATACCGCCCACCATTATCCACTTTAGGAATGGACCTGAGCTTACCAGCTGCTATGAAAAACCTAATTGCACGGCCTTATAGACACGTCCTCGTGGTAGAGGACTTTAATCTGCACTGCCTAGAGATCCCGGCCTCACTCGGTGAGCAATTCAAGGCGGAACTGCAAGACCTAATTGCTGGTTCACCACTGCACAACTGTGCCACTTCCTCAACGCGTTTCTGGACAGGAAACAAACCGGCCATCTTGGACCTCGTTTTCCCCAATGAGGAACTCATGATCGAGGTAATAACCACCAACACTTCTTTGAGCCGCAGCGATCATGCAACACTAGTGTTCCACTACAAGTACTACGCTAGTTTTCTAAATAGCATGCCGCAAGATCTTAAGTTGTAACCAACTATGCTGACCTGCCGACCTCATTGGTGCAACAAGCTGGCCGTTCCTAGCCAAATGGCCCAATGAGGTGACCTACGGAGAATTCGTCAACAGATTTAACAGGTTCGTGGCAAGCAAATCTAAAACTACAATCCACCTACCTAAAATGGTGAAGCCGTTCGTAAGCATCAAAAAGCATGAGTATATGACATTGAGGGACTTGGCGTGGCTCACCTAAATAGCTTCTCCGATTGAGAATCCCTGGGATGTCTACACAAAACGAAGAAACCACTGTATCAAACTCGTCCGGGATGCTAAAGTTATGAACCCACCAGACCTGGTGAATAAACGTTTCTCTATTCGCAAACTGCTATACAGACACGTAAACAAAGTACACCAGGAACTAGCAACGCTCCTGATAGCTCAAGGTGGACGATTTACTGAACCAGTGTCTAGTGAAGGATCTTGGCAGGTTTTCCAAAGCTTTCCTGTCACCCATAAATATGTTCGCTTAAATAATGCTGCAGTATTGAAGTATAGGAAGTGTGAGTACCTTGAAAAGCTGGATCCTGGCAGGGGTTAAATGAAATTTATGGCAAATAGTAACCATTAATCCTTTTAGCACTTACTAGTTGATACTCAACTTGCTCTGAGAAATTAAAATTGGTAGTGTATTGTATGCATAGATCTGTTACAGTGTTTCACTCATATGTTCATTGTGCAATTTAACTGGCTCTTCAGTGATCAAGCATCCGTGTGACATAATGTATAATTTACTAGCTGAGAAGTTTGTCATCCAAATGTCGCACGATTTCTCAAATTAATCGAGGTATGCTTGAACGAGCAAGATTGTGCTATCGAGTTGCTCTCGTTAAAGTGTATAATGGGTTTTTATGTCATCAGCGAACAAAAGTGGTCTGCCATGTATTTAGGAATATCGTGACATCGTTAATAAAGAGTATAAAGAGGAAAAGACCAAGTGTACTCCCTTGGATGACACCAATAGTGATTGCACGTAGGAAGTTATGGTTATACAGAGTGGCTGTCTGGTAACGCCGTTTGATGTATGATGTCAGCCAACCCAATAGTGAATCTCTGAAAGCAAGTGACACAATGTTTCAGTCGTTTCCGAGGCATTCCGTTGCAATCCCCTGTCAGTCAGCAGACTTTGATAGAGCTGGAAAAGCACCAGACAGCGCTGTTTCGATCTTCTGGGTCTCGAAGGTGGTGCGCCTTCCTCGGACCCCTGCCAGTTTCCCACCCCATGACTTCCGAATGCCAGCAGCTACTGCCACTAAGCCATGGGTGACTGCCGCGTACCTGCATGACTGACAGTTGATTACGATTTAGCCCGGCTCATCCTCCACTTCCATGCCAGTTACGAACAGTGCAAGTGTCAGTCATTTGGCTCCGGTCAAACGCTTATTGCATATCCAGGAGCCACATTATAACTGCATCCTTGGTGTCAATATTAGTACAACTGACAAGTTTTACAGGAACGTTTATCGAGGAACCCATGCTGGGATTTCTTAAGCAGTCCGTGACGATGGATAATGTCCATGATTCCACGATTAATTAAATTTTCGAATAATCTGGCGGTGATAGGTGTACGATGGATAGGTCGATAAGTACTGTTGTTCTGTTTGCTCCCCCTCTATGACGATGGACAACAAACAATGGTTTACACTACTCCGGTAAGTGACTAGATTCTAAAGACAAAATAAACATGTTCAACAAATGCAGTGATAGATCAGGTTTACAGAGTTTGATGACTGATGGAAGGATACCATCGGGGTTCATTTTAGGATATGGTTTATTGGACTTCACAGCCTGTTTCATGGTCGAAAGAGAAATCTCGATATTATGTACGAGGCTAGTTGGTCTAAGTTTTATGCATCATGGTCGGGTTCTACGTTCATGAAAGCAACGAAAAAAAGAACTAAATGTCTCACAAGTAGCAAGAGGTCGTTAAAGTACCGACCATCCTCATCAATCATTTCCGTGATAAAAGACGTCTGCTCGTTAATTCTGTGACGGAGTACTTTCATGAAGTGAAAAAGTATGTCGTACAGCCTCCATCTAGTTGACCGTACGCACGTGACCTTTGCTTATGAGTTCAGGTCCTATTGCTTATACAAATTCTCATGTAATTTCGTCGGCATCCATGCTGTGTGCACTGGTCGAGACATGAGTGCTCAAATAGACTAACGTCTTCAAAATGACTTCTCCAACAGATGGTGAAAAGAGTAGAACAAGAAACAGGGTTGGCTCAGCTATTGCAGGGCATTCACGAAACACGGGTCACCAGATAAACTCAGATGCACCATAAACAGCCACCATGCATGGTTGAGAGCCTCACAGTTGTAAGCTTGCGGGGTTATTTTTATCCATGGTTATTAGCCGCAACCTTGTTCCAAGATCAGATGATAATTAGGTAGTGTTCACCTTCGTGGGCTAAAAGATGCCTATTGAACGCCGCTTGGTGGCTAGGATAGCTTAAGTGACTTCATTTGGTTGATGAGAATATACAAAAATGACGGTGTTACCTTAACTTAATGTTATCTTTGATTTATTTTGAAACGAATGCGGGTAATCTCAACCGCCGTACAATCGCAAACTTGACTTGACTCAGCTAGGTAAAACGGACAGTGTATCGCTGTAGTTTTGTCAGCGTTTCATTGCACTGATTGTTTTCCCATTGGACATCTCTCGAAGAGTTGACTTGGGCCATTATTTTCTGCATGTTTGCCTTGGGCATTCATCCAGCATTGTAAATTGACTATGTATGTACACTTACATTTTAGGCATCTGTTCGATGCATACATGCTCTCTGGCCAGCGAAAAGAAGCCATTCAGCTGTTCGATGCAGCGATTGGTGGTCCAGCTCGCCGTGTTCCTGACTATATGGTCCGACTACTGGCCAAAGCATCTGCGGCCAACGTGGCCAGTGCGGAACGCACTATCGCTTGGGCACTGGGTGTACATGGAGGGTCGTTGCCAGATTCGACCAAGAAGTCTCTCTCCGGAGTGTCACGAAGTGTGATGAATCTAAAAATGAAAGGCAAAGTCTCGCAAACCCTTGTGACATTGGGCTTATCGCCATTGTGCAAATTTGCAAAGCTGTGCAACTCGTGAGTGCTTAGGTTGTTTCAGGTAGTTTTCGTTTGAAAATTTGGGTAGTGTATGCCGCACACTTAATGGTGATTGACTTTCTTTAGCGACTTCCAAAAGGTAGTACGTTGATGTGCCGAAACGACTCTTCGTGGCCACGCTATCACCACAGTTATCACGGAGGCCATGTATGCTGTGAGATCGCCTGTACCTATATCACTTGCATGTACCCTTAAAAACCCAATCCGTCAACGGCCATCTTAAGTTTAATAGATGATGCATCTTCCATCAGGCCACAATAGCACAGCTTTGAGCACACCTGTGTTTGGGATAATCAAGAAGAAGAAATAGCTATGTATGTATTTACCAAGCTACCTGTCAGAAGTATTTGGTTTGGAACATTTTTAGGAATTTTGAATTTTCGGTGAAGTTTTCGGAAGTGGTCCCAAGAAGTTAAATGCAATACCACAACGTAGCCTACAATGTATACTGTGGAGTTGCGAATAACTGGGGAAGTTTATTTCATCGTCCACAGTTGACAGCAGGACGACTATTAGTGTGCTTCAGCATCCAGAATGGTTTCTTAGTACTTTCATTCATACGACGATCTGTTCAACCAGCTGCAATCCAGTGTGCAGGATCTACTATGGAGGTAATCAAAAAGGTTGCGAGGACACAACACAATATATCGAGGCTTGTTCGTTTCTAACAGCAAGTTTGGTGCATGGAACATGGGCCTACGAAACAGTACTTGTGTACATTAATTACTGTCCTTTACCTGCTGGTTCAGCTAATAGATGATAAAAACTACTGATCAAATGCAAATGGCAAGGTTGAATGTCCTTGCTTATGCTATTCACAGTTGCCTTCGTGCAAGCCGCAGAACAATAGTTCCAAGGTTGGATTGGGACTTTGTTTCCAGTTATGTCACCATTGCTTATTGAGATATATAAATATATAGTACAAATAATGACCACACTGACGGGTGAAATAAAATTGCTAAGCAGGTTGCAGCTCACAACTGGCTTCCATCCCGAAGAAAATATTGACTTGGGAGCTGTATTTTGTACTGTCTGATTGTTCAAGCTAAACACTGGACCGTTGTACAACCTAGATAGCCCAGGGTCTGTCTTATGCTTTGACACACGTATTATTCCGGCACGCGAGATTTCAGTTTAAACCATGCACGCCGCACCAACTGGTGAGAGAATGACATATAAAAAATGAGATAATTCACAATGTGTGATAGCATTCTCTCTGCTTACGTACTTCTAGAGTATTTAGTCATCCAATTCCCATCGCACAAACATCTGCTTAAACACAAGGGCGCCAGTTTGACGAATTTTATCTGATACGCTCTATCCTTCGGATCTGATTTGTGAGGGTCAACTCTTGCCTCCACATCACAGACTTTTCGCCCATCTAGCAAAAGCACACAAGCTAAATCTTCCAAATGCTGAACCGCATACAAACATTTGTAGTCTAATTCGAAAGATAAATCCCAAACACCAAACAAGTGATCAGTCAAACTTGTCAACCGCCAAGTAAAAATTTACTGAGCATTTTATACACTTTATGGTTTAATCGCTCAGTATGCAATTTGAAGTTGCTTATAGTAATTGATAACGTTGCTAACCGTTTCACCTAACGCTCTGTGATCCATTACATCATTCGACAAACGCGTCTTGTTTCGTAACCTGTTAATTAATGGTCACAAAAATGGTGGACATCAGTAGTACGCCGGTAGGTAGCACCAACGATTCACTGTCGCCCAGTAGGGATTTAGGAAGCTACACATACTAGCATACAGCTGAAGTCAACGCTCCGCCACTGATACGAAGCATTTCAGTGATAAAGCAAAAGATGCCGCGTCGAATGTTACCAAAATGAAGTTCATTTATGGAATAATTTGACGCCTGGAAAATATCCTAACTGGAATCACCTGTTTCGACGTTCTTCGCTATTTCCAACACAAGTGTGCCAGGCTATAATGGAGTGAGTTAAAGCTATATGATGGCAGCCATATCCCATCCATTTTTACGCACTACGTAAGGATATTGCATTGCCCAACAGAGTAGTAGCTCTTTCTCATGAATACGATCACCCAGTGCAGCGGTTGAGTAAATAAGCGAAGTCAAAATCGGTATAATTGGCGAAAACATGACAGAGAGTAAACGTAATCCTTCCCAATGGGCCTTAATTCATGCCTGCATAAACCTCATTTGTAATTTTAAAATACAAGCAACGGGCCAACTTCGCCAACGGCTCATACGCATGACCAAACTAATCAAATTCCGATTCGCGTAATTACGACCATGGTATCGTTCACCAACTGTGTTCCAATATCTCGGGAGGTTGATGATAGTGTTAAAGTAGATGAGATTTCTGCTACTAGCATTAGGAAATTCAGGTAGTCCCACTGGAAACCAGAAGAAAGAAATATAAAGAAGGTGCTCCTTTACAGTTACCACTGCTTTTGTACAGACCATGGAACAGTATTCAAAATCCAAGTTTCGCAAGTGGTGATTAAAATACCATATATTGGAACGTTGATTATCTGCAGCGATGCCAACTAGCCGAAGTTAAAGTCCTTTAAGGAACGTAACTCGAGGCAGCAACTCAGTAGAATTTCAAATTAACCTCTTAAACCTATTAACTAAGCCCACTAAATTGATGTGGAACATGGATCAACTATACCCAAGGTGCCAATTTGAACCGAAGCTTTTCCGTTTTGAGCTGAATGCTGCCTACGAAGCAGAAGCATCTCTGTTATGAATAGCTTATCTCCGGAATGCGTCCTTTTGGATCCGTATCATTCCGGGTATTCAGTGTAACGAGGGTCAGCTGATAATGCGTGGCTTGTAGGACCAGTACAATGAATCAGCAGCCCGCATTATTCCTGATCTCGATGTCTCTAAAGATGGAGGACATGATGAGTGAGAACCTTCAACTCACGACCAGTAGTAGTGGTGATGCCTTCACCATGCCCTATCCATGGAAAACGTCGTAGCTCAGTCGATCCTGAGGATATCTAGATCGCCAAAGTATAAATGATGTTACCCCTGCATTACGAAAGCAATGCTTTTATCCGCGTAGAGGTTAATCACCCAGCTGGAGTGTTTATATATACATAACAGCACACTATCATCCAAGCTCCGGTTCAAGGCAGCGTCTTACAACTAAACGCACGAAAACGGTTGGGGTAACATTTTTCATTTATCCACCAAAACTGGTGGTCACAATCTATGCGATGCACACAAAGAGATAATAAAGGAGCAGGTTACGGAGTTACTGTATGTGCCACCGATTCATGGGTCATTGCTCCCCCAAGAAAGCATTTGGGGTGGACCTTTCACCATTCGGCGGAATAGCACACTCAGGGCACAAGGACAGAGAAATTTTCCTATTGCAGAACAATGCATAAGGGTTCCTGAGCATGCTTGCTAAATGACGACGGTGTCAAACATCATATGCTTCAGGGCTCCCTTACACAAATAAGTGTGTCACGACACATGGATAACAATAAAAAGATAGGGAAATGCGCACGATTCCGTGCCATATAAGATAACTTTTCCAACCAGATGTGCTCAATGCCATTGTGCCTCCAAGTCGAGAGTCTGGAACATCCCAGTTTGGCCAGGTGCGATACCAGCGCCACGACACCCCATACGCGGGTTTTGTGTTGGTTACCTTTCCATCACTGACTTCCAACACCCGGACATACAAACAAACATGACAAGGCAAAGGTTGAGTAGGCAGGCGGAGAACGTGCTTTAGCCGCCAGAGCGCCCGCACGGAAGTAGAAGTGCAGGGTTTTGCTAAGTATGTATGAATTAAAAATCGGACACTAAACTTTGATATTGTTTTTGCGATATTGCATACGTAACTAGTTCAGTTCGGTTGATCAAGTAAGATCCCAGCATCAAAGTGCGGTGAATCCACGACTCAGATCACAAAAATGGCTATACATGACTATGGCAAGATAGTGGGGTTAAATGCAAAGAAATGAAAGCAAAAAGGAAATATTTTAAATTAATCAGCATCGAATGAATATTAATAACCAGATGCCAGAAACCGAATGTAGAAACGCCACGAGCTGCCTGAATGCGCCATGTCTGATACAGCCTCCAGCCACTGGTGTGAACCATCCCAAGGCCACCATCCACGAAGACGGCAGGCAATCTTTTAGCAAGTCTTTCAGTCGATTTCTTCATGCCTCTATGCCACATCATGGACTGTCCATATCATGGTTTTTGCTAATTAGTGCGGCCATGGCTTATAATGCACTCAGAGGAATCTAGGCAACGGGTGTACGGCGGATTGAAATTCAGCAAACATTCGAATGTAACACGAGAAGACCTCTTGCCAAAAACCAACTGGCAGACCTCAGCATTGCTCACCCGGTGTTCGCAGCAGACGTGAGCAACGTTCCGTAAGCACCGTTGGTCAACCACGGCCAAATGTTTAATGTCTTCACTGCGAACTGACCAGTCCTCTGATCCATACAGTTAGATCGACCTTACCGCTGTGTTATACACAATACCTTTCACTGACAGATTGATATCCCACCGTCTCCATAGATGGTTGAGCCTCTGAAATACCACACGGTCCCTGCTGACACACGAAGTAACTTTCACAGTGATGTGATTACCAGTTGACACAGTTACCAAGTCAAGTGAACCGGCCCATCAGTTCCAGTGGCTATTCGATGATAGCTAGAACCGAAGGTGTGTCGGTCCAGCCCAGCAGCAGTATCTTGCACTTTGAAGGTGTAAAGCATACACCGAAGCGTACAACGCTACGCGTCAGTCTATCCAATAGTGTTTGCATTGCCACCGCGAAAGACACAAGAAGAGCCATATTGTCCGCGAACCCTAGGTTTCTCAGTCGGTCGCCTGGCAGGACTTCCATTCCAGTAGCGTCTGAAAGAACCGAGTCATTCATGATCATCTCGAACACATACTTGAAGAGGAAATGAGATACAGTACAACCTTGGTTTACCTCACTGCTATGGGGAACTCAGGAGAAAGTTTGCTGCAGACCCTTACCCGGCATTGTAAGTCACGGTAGAGAGACTGCATAGCAAACGTGATGATCAGAAGTAATATACTGAAATCAATTGTTCGGACGGGTCAGGTCTCACAGCTCTTTTTGTAAATGAAACTTGTTCACCACAATTCAAAAATATGCCTCTAGTGAGTTTTCAGCCGTAACATACATGTCATCCATATAATAAAAGATTGGGGTAGAATTGGCAAAACAGCAGCAAAGAAACTAGTTCAATGAGTAAGGCAACCTCATTGGTGATATTCACGGGTAAACTGTCGAATAATGGCGTTCTGGTTAGAGAATAACCGACGAACCGTAGACCCGCGGGCGCTCATTTAGTACTCAGCAGTTTCGTCTAGTCTATGAAGTAAATATATACTTTGGCATTGCGCCGTGCAAGGGCTGTCT